ATTCCATAAGAGACTAGTCTGTAGTCTATCAGAAAAAGGCATTCTGCACAGTTATTGATTTTGAGACTGTGTTGGTATATAATACTAGCTAACATTTGCTGAGACCTTATTATTAATATCTTCCAGGCACTATTATGAATATCTTACATGTGTTATCCTCCCCCAAATTCTAAGATGTAATTATTATTAACATCATTAATATTATGATTGAATATAAATATTTATTTATAAATTGAACATAAATATTTGAGAGTCAACTCCAGGCAAGCTGACTCCAGAGTCATTGTTCTTAATCACTGGGCTTCGTTGATTTCTAACAAATACTCTATTGAAATGCTATCTATTGGATGCTCCACTCAATGGATAATAGCCCCCCCCCCCCCCCCCCCCCCCCCCCCCCCCCCCCCCCCCCCCCCCCCCCCCCCCCCCCCCCCCCCCCCCCCCCCCCCCCCAGCCCCCCCCCCCCCCCTGCTTGTGAATGACTTTTGTTTTAAGACAGTATCTCTTGTTACCCATTTTTCTGTTATTAATTCCCTATAAAATGTTACAAACATTGAGATTTGTTACTACTAAAGAAAAATTGCTTGCCACTACAAAGAAGGGAAAAAGTTATTTACAGAATTTCGAACTTATGTACTTATTTTGAGTCAAGAAATGTCGAGCGTATTATAAGTAAAAACATTACGTAATTTCTTATATGGCAAAATCTGTTGTTTATAATTAACATAGATAATAAGATATATATATATAGTATTTTTCCTGAATATGAAGACCTTTTATATCCAATGTCTGTGTAGATAGATTCCCAGGAGCTCAATATGTCTTTTCCTACTTTAACACAGAAGATTACTGAGAATCAGAGAGGTTAATTAGAGGTTCTTAATCCTGTATACATATTTAGAATCATCTGGATATCTTAAATAAACCAACAAAACCATGCCGATACCTGGAATCCCAACCAAGATAAATTAACTCAGAATCTCTGGGCTGGAGTAGAACATTAGCATTTTGTAAGCACTCTTCAGGTGATTATAATGTGACATAAGTTGAAAACCAGTAGGTTAAATGAATCATTAAAGACTCAAAAGTTGAACCTTAAATCTGAGACTTCTAACTCCACAGGCTTTGATAGGCCATGTCCACATCCTCAAACTCAAAACCACTTTGTGTGTCCTTTTTTAAGGATTACTGACACCCTAATTACATTGTCACATGTGCAATGGAAGAGTTTTTGTTCATTCTTAAGACTAAGTTTAGATGAATAATATCAACTATTGATGCCTAACCTGTCTCCATCCAAAAATCTCATTTAGATTATAGAATGATGAGGTTCTATGGGGAAGTCTGTTGGAAATATAGCACACACACACCCACCCACACACACAATCTCTATTATGTGCAAAGTTTCCCAACCAAACAGTCTAATGTAAAACAATATAAAACAATATGCTTGCTGGGCAAATGCCCCTTAAATTCTAGCCTTCCATTCCTAAAGTTTTTAGTCTTCCAACCTCTCTTACATAAATTTCTGGATTTTCCTCTCCCTTATAGTTTAATACTTTCTCTCAAAGTTTTGATGTTAGAATGTTTCTGTTAGGTATCTTTTCAAGCTGAAAAGCTTTCAGGATGCCCATAAGTTTTAAAGAAGGTGTTGTGAGTTAGTAAGTGCCTACCTCTGATGTAATTTTGAATAATTCAGAGTGAGACAGGCAGTATATTAATAATAACACCTTCACACTCTACAGCCAATGGGACTTGAAGTATGACTTGCTGCTGCTAAGGTTATTGCTATGATAAATCTGGAATTGGATGTAACAAGAACAAGTCCTGGATAAGCTCAGTTACAGCTGTTCTCTGACACAGCTGTGTTCACTCAGTTTGTAAGGCGTACTCTGCTTTGGCTACAATTAGCATGAAGGTTCTCCCCAACTCTTGCAATCTCAATTGTACACTCACCCTTTTTTTGGAGCTCTGTCTTGAATCACTCTCTTCTTGGCTGGGATCTGTACCACCAATCTAATGCTCACTGAATACCTCTCACGATGGCCTACTCACTCCCTTACTCTGTCTCCTCAAGCCCTGGTTAGGATTGTAACTGGGTAACCACATGGATGACCTGAAATCATAGATACCTCTATACCTAACCCCTATAGCTAACAGTCTTGAAGTTTCCTTCACTGTTCTGGTTATCTACTGGTGCATAATAAACTGCCCCTGAACTTTGTGGCTTAAAACAATTATCATCTCTCATGGATCTTGGGAATTGACTGGGCTCAGCAGGGAGGTTCTTGTTAGGGCTTCTCACATGCAGTTGCAATCAGATGGCAAATGAATGGGGCTGGAGTCATCAAATGGGCCAGATATCCAAGAGGGCCTCTTCAAATGGTTGGAAATTGATACTAGCTATCGGCTGGGGAGTCATCTAGCTTTAAAGACTAGAGAAACTATAGGCAGCCTTTCCAGGTGGCTGTTTCCCCAGTGTTCCAAGAGTGAACCTTCCAAGATATCCAGGTAGAGCTGTAAGGCTTCATAAGTCCTGACTTCAAAGTCCCAGAATGTCTTTTCTGCCATATTGTATTGGTAAATACAGGTCAAAAGATCATCCTAGATTAAGAGGCAAAGAAAATATATTCGACCTCTTGACATGAGAAGAAGTAAGCCCTTAAAGGAAGAGAAGAGATTAATGGCAATGAAACACTGAATATCTGTCACACTCACCATATTCTCGTTTTTACCCAAAAGTCATATCTCTTTGGAATGGTAGGTATAGACTAGCAGTTAAATCTCTGAATCCTCTTACAATCTTAAAAATTATTGAGAACTTTTGGTCTGCATGGCTTCAATCTATTGATATTTGTTGTATTAGAAATTAAAACAGAGACGTCTAAATTATTTAATTTATTGAAAAATAATAATAAACCGATTACTTGCTAACATAAATAACATATTTCATTGAGAAATAACTATATTTTCTAAAACAAAATCTTTTAGTGAGAGGAATGGCATTTACATTTTTGAAAATTTCTTTAATTGAAGACAGCTGGATTCCTGTATCTCTGCAATAAATTGTTATAATATGTTGTTTTTGTTAAAGTGTATGTAGAAAATACAGCCTTAGAGAGATATGTTGGAAAAGGGAGGAATATTTTCATAACCTTTCAGATAATTCTGAATATTCTTTTTTGATACTATACCAAAACTTGTAGTAGTTTCTTTAATGTTCATTGAAAGGTGGAATCTGAATTCATGCCAACAAATTTTTACACTCTGTTTTATCAAAATCCATTGGTCTATTTGTACTTTGAAAATATTTTTTATCAATGTGTGATTTTGTGACACTGGTCATTTGGAAGATATTGGTTCACTATGTTAAACAGATCTCCCAATTATGATATATGTCATTATACAGTATCAAAAAATCATATTTGCTAACATCAACACGTATTGTATCAAAAGTCTTTAAATGTTTGAAAGGTGGAACAACAGTGAAATCTAGAGTAAAACCAAGCTGGCCCAAGGTTTTCTGCAGGCTATAATATGCAGTTTTGTCAGAGTGCCATTTTTGTGTGTGTGTGTGTTCAAATGATTTTAATTATTGCTGTGCACAATTTTTTAAATATGCAAATAAAAAGTTTTAAAACCTGAAATAAAAAGATTAAATCTGAAGGAGCTATATCTCTGTGGTCACTAAAATACGAGCTGCTCCATTCTGATCTGGAGGCAGCACGTCAAAAAATCCTGATGAGATGATGCGGTCTGGTCAGACAGAGATCTAGACTTTAGTTCTCCTGAGCAGTAACTGGTTCCTCTATGGTGTAGATTTGAACCCATAAGTTTCCAAATGACATGGATAGAAGTTGTGGGAGGTAAGTACAAGGGGTAGAAGATAGCCATTCAGTAGATACCAGTGCCTGCCTCGATGTATTAGCTTTTGCTATTATCTCTATTATAAAAAATATAACTGCTAATTGTCTGTTTTTCTTTTATCATTGTTCAGATTTAAATATATGGATGCACAGGCAGATAGAGAAGTTGTATTTTAGTGTAGAAGAAAGGGCGCTGAAGTAGAAATAGATACTGGAATATCTGTTCCCACCAACTTGTTGATTCCTGATTGGCTTTTCACAAATCATTCAACCTCTAAGGCTCATTCCCTCCTTCGAAAAATTAGGGGTTTGGGTAGAGGATTTCAGGTTGTCACCTTGCTCCAAGTATGTTGATGGCTGGCTAGTGCAGGCTCACAAAAAGCAATTATGCACACTTTTTCCGAATTCCATGTTTCATGACATCAGTTGGTAGCTTGAAATCCAGCATGGTGGGAGTATTTACACCACAGAAAATGGCAAATACTATAAATAGGGACATATTTTTCTTTTTCAAAGAGCCAACTTAGCAACACAGCACTGTTATTTATCTGTAACATCCTTATACTAAGGAGCATATACATAATAACTGGGAACTTGCTGCAATGTCCAACATGTGGGATATTGGAGCAGATCTATCTTGTGACAAGTATGAAATTCACACACATTTCAGCTAGACTTGGATGTTATTTTCTAATTATCATATGTGGTTTATCTAGACTGTTCTGTGATTTTGCAATCTACTTGTTGAAAGAAAAGAATAAAAATGAAATAAGAAACCGAAAGTTTTATAAATGCTGTCAAAATTATTTTTTATTTTTCTGTTATTTCTTCAGATTTATGACCTATTAATATATTTCTTCCATTCTAACATTTAAAAATTAAGTTTTCTTGTTCTGTCTGAAATAATAAGTGACCAATTTTTCGGGTCAATTCAGAATATAGAGGTAGAAATAAATGAAGTCAATAATGGAGAGTAAAAATTCCTGCCATAAAACAAGCTTGACCATCTTACTAAGATTTCTAAATGTCTATCCTCTATGTCTTTAAAAAATCATTTTTTATTGCCCATTTTTATTAAAATTATTTTTATTTTATTGTAGCAAAAGAATAAGCAAAGAATAGGAAAAAGCAATGGACACGAAGTAGAGAAGCAGCATTTATTCTAATCAACCAAAAAACCTTAGCTAAGTCGAAAAATTAATGCCCTATAGGGCATATTTTGCTTTTGGAAAAATACCCTCCCATCTCCCATTCCTGTCACGCCCACTCATAACATCCTGGTCTGACATGAAAAAATGTTCCAGTTTGCTTTTAGAAATGTGATTCAATCTTGCTAGCAGGGATTCCTTTGAAAGATCCTTGACCCATTCTCAGGATGCTCTCAGTTTGCCAGAAGCAAGCAACAAACGGAACGGGGTTTCACAAAGAGAGAATTCAGAAGTCTTCATGAGTGTAATTCCTCTTCAGGGCTGCCCTCACACTCTGCCAAGACCCAGCAAGGTACCTCCATGAGGGCACTTTGTCTTCTCTTTCAAAGCTATCCAATTACTCAGTCTCCAAGCTATGAAGCAGGGGTTCAGTAAGCATGAAGTGGTTCTTGGGAATCTCTGGAGAAGCAAACATTGACAGGTAATGTCCTAGCTGTCTGTCACTATCCAACAGGGTCAATCTCTGGACAAGTTCCTGGCACACACAGTGTTGCTTTTAAGTCCTGCTGATTTGGATTTAAGTTTTTCCCCTTTTAGCATTTTGCCTGAAATTTCTGTTTGAATTGGAACACCCTAACTACCAAATTAAGTGTAATGAGCATGATAAAAAAAAAGTTCATTGAAATTTACCACAGCCATTTGAAGAAACTTCCAATAAAACCAGAAAGAGAGCCAATGGCCATCTGCCCAGTGACATAAAACAAAAAGCTGCCCACCAGGAGATAGAAATAAAACACTAAAGAAGTCAGGAAGAGGAAGAATCCAACTTTTCTACAATCTCCACTTATCTAAATCTCAGGCCTTCCCAAGAATTAGTGAAATTCATCTGGAATAGTACTCTATATGGTCCCCAACAGAGATGAACATACTTTTATTTTGCTAATGACAAAGTATTAAGCAAACACACAAAAAATCCCCATACACAAACACAAATGAGTTATTGGTGGGGTCCTTTAAAGTTCTCTGCCCCACACAGTGGTCACCAAAATAAGTAAGACTTACTTTTTTGTGCTCTATGAGTTTGCTTCACTTTAATAGAAGAAATAGTGATAGGTAAGTGGATATAATGTGGGGAAGAAAAGATTTTCATCTCAGAATAGTGATATATTCATTTTCAGAGACACATTTCCTGTTTGATAAAACGAGAAAGGATAGTATGTCACCAGATGAGTTGGTTAAAACAATAATCTTCTTAATAAAGAAAACTACAATTCATAGAGGGTGAACTCACACTGGCTATGTCTGTGTCACCTATAAAAACCAATTGCCTTAAGAAATAAAATTTTAAAGAATGTAAATTGAGAGGAAAAAATAATCAAAGCAGTTAAATTGGCATCTAGCTTCTTGTGTGTGCATGTATATACATGAATATGTATATTCCCTCTCACTATGTGGATGTGTGTGTGTGTGTGTGTGTGTGTGTGTGTGTATGTATATTCTGCACACAATGACAAATAACTGGTTGGTGAATATATCATGTAGCCTTTACCTCCTGTCTTTGTAGGTAGAATCAAAGATTGCACACAGATTTTAAGTCTCCGGCACATGTGTGTAATAAACTTTAGGTACTAGCATTCCCTCTGTATTCTACTTAATTATTGCATTAACATTTTCCTACTTATTTTTCTTAGCTATTTGTATTTTCCTTCTCTCTTAAACCACATTTTCAAACTAGAATATCTCAGGGCTGTAGTATTTGATGATAAAGCATATTTGTTAAATTTTTTTGCAAACAATATTCATAGTTACAGCATGTGTACACAGTTTCTTAGATTTTTGTGTGGAAGTTCTTTCATCATTTTTTACCAGTATCCCTTTGGGATATCTCAAGACCCCAACATCTGGTTAGTGGTTTCTTAGAAAGGCACATTTTTTCAATACAAAATGTTCCTTTTCTTAAAATAACAATAACAATGTAATTTGCATGCCTTTAGTAGCTTAAAAGGCTGAATAAAACTCACTTTTCCTTAATTAATATCAGCTTCTCTCTTATCATACTACAATGCACCTGCTCTGAAATAACATAATTTTAGATTAAAAAGATATACGCAAATAAAAAAAATTGGGAAGTTAGTATGCAAAATACAGAAATAGTTGGATTACTCATTAAAAGCTAAAGAAATGATCCCATGGTGGGAGCATGGGTAACATGAAACACCTGTTGTGTGTGGATGAGATAGACTAGGGACGGGTTTAGTGCCGATAGACTTGAGTTTAAACCCTGTTTTCATCGCTTTGATGTTTGATGAATTTTTTAGCCACCTCTGAGACTCAGTATCCCCATCCACAAAATTGTCAGGTTCCTACCTCAGGCTTTCATGAATATTATTTATTTATTTAAACAAACAGTGCTATGTTGCATACTGTATGCCAGGCACTATTCTATTCTAAGGACTTTCTAAATTGTAACTTATTTATTTTCAGGTCAGCTTTATAAAGCAAATATTACAGTTCTACTTTAAGACATTTAAATATGGTGACTTTCAACCAGGAGGCCTTTGGTCAGTGGCATACTAAGGGAAGGAGTGAATGAGGTGGCTCACTCCAAGTGCAGGTCATAAATGTCTGCCTTTTTAGGAGATAATTTAAAAATAATAACAAAACCAACTAAAAGTTGATCTGCATTTTATTGTTATCAGGCGCTGGTAATTCTAAGGAATTTCTGTGGTAAAATATTCCTCACTTTAGGGCGGATACCTTCTATTCCTTATCTCTGAATATCCACTGCCCTCAATATTTTAACATTGTTTTTAAAGTAAAATAAGAAAATAAAGTTAAAAGCATTTAAAAAGCTTTTGAGAATTTAACAAAAATATGAATACATAGGACTACAGATAGTCTTGAATGAGCTAATATATACATATATAAAATATAGCATATACCTATAATAATGTTAGGTATATATAGCCTATATATATATACATAAAACATATATATACCTTTTTATGAATAATTGACATAGTGGCATCTGCATTTTGCCTTATATACAAGATGTTCACTGGAGATTAGAACATTTGGTAAAATTTTTAACTCTACTTTCCTCACTACTTGCTTCATTTTTGAAATATGTGAATAGACATTTTCAGAGAAGTAGCAGGTTAAAATATATAGTTTCTAAAACAACAACAATAATAATAATAATAACAACAACTAAAACAGAATGAATAACACTTCATTTCCACAATTTTTTAAACAAAAATATTCAAGCCTGTCTAAGCCCTAGGAAAGCTTATTTAATTGAGTTGTGAATCTATCTCAATTCAGCTTCAAACTTCAAATGGAAAAGTCTTATTTTATGGGGGAGATTGACTAGATGCAATCAGAAGTCCAATTTTTCAGCTAGCCACTTGGCTATGCAGCTATCACTTGGGACATCTTAAAAAGCAGTGTATACTAAAATAACGGAGTCCACTTTGGCAACTGATGTGATTTTTTAAAATGACAATATCAAAGGTTATTTTGAATGGATATATTAATAGAGTCTAAGGATTAATTAAATTTAACCAAAATATTACATGAATTTATACATTTTAATCTTTGGGTCATCTCTTCTTCTATTCAATCCACTTATCTTTTTATATTCTTGACATGTTTGTGTAATTGAAAGGTTTGGACTTTGAACTTGGGTTTTTCAGGTTCAAATCTTACCTCTACCTCTTATTTGTCGTGGAAGGTTTTAGTTTCCTACTCTGGAAATAAGTGGGACAACATTTATATCACAAAGTATGCTCTGAAGATTAAATGGAGTAAAGTCTACATCAAGTCTAGTTTTGTGCCTGCTAGCTTCTTCCCTCAAGTCTCCCTCTCTTATTCCACTTCAAAGATCAAAATATTTTACATTAGCCCTGTAGAGTAGCTATCTTTAAATTTCTCCTGCAATGAGTTACTATCTTTAGGAAGTCCCTAGGTAAGGTTTGGAGATGGATTAAATGTCAGCATCTGCAGGTGGGGCTTGGCTAGAACACATAGCAGATTTATCCAGAAAGGATTACAACTGGGACTGCTATGTGTATGCAAGTGTCATGAGGCATCTAAGAAGGAAATTCAGCCTGTTCATTTTTGAACAAGGCACCAAAAATGTCCAGTATGTTTATTATATAGTTATTTTGGAATAAAGGACAAACAAAAGCTATATTTCAACATTAAGAAGATGTTGATGTATACTTAGAATTTTTTGTGTGTGCCAAAAGAAATAGAACATTCCCTTGCAAAAGTGTGTATTGAAGTGAAATGAAACAAATGGTCCTTTATTTATTTATGTAAGGCTAGACATTGGGTATATTGCATCATTTAAGCTTCATCCTTACACTTCATTACCTACTAAATATGGGCCCTGCTTGTAAGTATTTGTATAATCAGTGATAAGCTGTACTTTGAGACAGAGTGGTGCAGATCAAGCATTAGAAGAAAAAAAAGAAGAGAGAGAGAAAATCGTACTTAATCTTTTGGAACACTTAGAGAATATTTGCTTCAAAATTGGAAATTTCCTGAACTCCAAGTTAAAAAAATCTTAGAAACACTGTATTTCCCAGACACACTGAACCACAAATTACATGTTGATAGCTTGGAAATAATGGCCACAGTAGTTATAACAGATATTTAAAAATTTTGGAATTTAGTGAGAACACAAAGTCAGACTGGAAGGCCTATATCCTCAGATTTTCTTATTTTTCAGTGGGATAAAATTCACATTCCCTTTAGCCCAGCACTAAATACCTACCACAATTTGGCTGGGCCTCAGTGTATTTCTCAGTACTTTCTAAAGGCTCTGTTATGGTGGGAGTAGAATATGCCCTGCTCCCTCCTCCTGCACCAGAAGAGGTGTGCATTTTCTTCTGTCTTCTATCCCTTTATCAGATCCTTTCTTTCCACTAGCAGTTCCTTCCCTATTGTTCCCTAAATATTAATCAGATTTGAGTTTAACTTATACCTTTGCCATGAAAATTTTCCCCTTTCCTCTAAATTGCAGCAATCTCTCCTACAAATGAACTCAGGATTCACATATTTCCATACTGAAATTATTACTCAAAACTTTGCTAAACTTCACCATGTACATGGATCCTCTCATTTCAGCCACTTGGTGTTCAACTTATGGCAAGAAGTATGAATTTAAACTTTTTTCGATGTACTCTACATGGTTGTATGCAATGCAGAAATGTTAGGCAGGGAAAGAAGACATTATAGTGCTGTGCTCTACCTCTTAAGGTTGAATGTAAGGACATGATAGTTTGGAGAAGTTATGCACTCATGGAGTGCTTGCTGAAGAAGGAAAACTTCTGTTTAGACAAAAGGGATGAAAGTCTGTAAGGACAGAGATAGTACCTGAATAAAGGAGGCAAGTGTACTTTTCCTGGGGCCCTTTTCTCTCCTGGCTCAACCTCAAGAATAGAAAAATCTACTAATCCAATTGGGTCACATTCTAGAACAAGAATTGGCCATATATTCTAGAAGGCAGGGAAGGACTACCTTAAGACTTTACTCACATGAGCATGCCAGATTCTTGGACCTCTCCTGGGCTCTCACCAGGGCAGCTCCTCACTGCTTCCTCTTCCACTGTGGCTGGGGCAGTGAGATCCAAGTCTTGTTGCTGGTGCTTTCCTCTCTGTTCTGTTCCTTTTATCACACATCTGAAGTGTCAAATCCCACCCTTACCCTTAATGGAGTTCCTAAGCCAACATGGAGCCTGGCTGAAGTCCCTTGTTCACTCTTTTCCCCTTCGCTCGTTGTGTGCTCAGTACATGTATCAGTTCTGTCTCCTGTGCTTAACAGGAGGATGGTAGGATACTAACATTTGACTGTCAGTTTTAGTTAAGGATGAGCTGGCCTTGTTACACTCTGGTACGAAGCTTCAGGAGTTTACATCAGGCATCCTCCAACTACGGCCTGCGGGCCACATGCAGCCAGCCGAGGACATTTATCCGGCCTGCCAGTGTTTTTGCTGCTCCTGTGTGTCCTGCTTAGCAGCCAACTCGTCTCGGGCCCACAGTGCGCATGTGTGGAATGTGTGCCGCACTCTCCAACGGCCCTCCAGCGGTCTGAGGGACAGTGAACTGGCCCCCAGTTTTAAAAGTTTGAGGAATACTGGCAGTTTATCCAAGAGCTCTGTATTAGAATTTGGCAAAACAACCCAATTAATAAAAATATAGAACTTAGGTTCCTTTTTGCCATTGTCCCTTGGCTTTATATTTCCTAGGGCAACTCAAGGGGCTAGGGTTATGGCTAGACAAAAGATGGATGTAAGCATTTCTTATTTCCCTGGCTAAATATCATCACATACCACTCCAATGCCCACCGTGATTTTTAACAGTGAAGAATGGGTTTCTCTATCTCATTTAGGGGACTGAGGGTGCCATTAGGTTAGTCTGGGAAATGCAAGTCAATTCTTTGGTCCATAGCCATGTGCTCTCCCTTGTCAGATAGAATGTTCTTAGAAAAATTACAACCATTAGACGGAAAGCAACGGACCACAAACTGTCCAGAGGTGTCCATCACTAGTTCACATAATGCTCTTGAGAGAATCAGAAGACACCCTAGTCCTACACAAAGCATTGTATTAATAGTTTAGCAAGCTAAAAGTGGTTTTGATTTCAGCTCCCCGCACACCCATGGCTGGTGGGCCTTAGGCAAGACAAAATCTGCAAGACTTTGTGGTGACCTTCAGCCAGAATATACAGTTCATGTGAGCACATTGGTTTAATTTGTTTGTCTTTTTTTAAGGTATATTTCCTCATGAGAACTGCCATTGTGTAAGGCACAATTAAATGTAAATATTATACTTTCTAATCTTATAATAATTTCCTGATAAATATATCCAATAAACTAGTCTGTAGCATTATATTACAGTCTATTGCAATTGGCTCTCCTGGTCTCCTATTTTCTTACCACGACTATATTTGATCACACTTTTATGATGGAAATAACCTGGTCTTAATCTAGTTGATAAAAAAAAAAAGTTGGCAAGCCTCTTTTATGAGTAAATGGAAAGGGGTTTTGCAAGGCAGCATATATAAAAAAGAAACATTAATCCTAACCCTTCACTCTCTTAAATGGGAATTAAGGTCAACATTCTTAGAACAGCCAACTGAAGTGGTGCTAAGTTCAGAAATTCTTTGGAAAGAAAACAAAACAGCTGACTTTCACTGGAGGAAAAAACATTTCAAGAGTTAGGTGCTAGCACTGGCAGTGTCTTCCCAAGCCCCTTCAACTAGGTCATTATTTTAAGAGAATAACAAGAAGTCATTTAGGAAAGATCACCACTATGCTTATCAACTTAATTCTTGATTTGAATTAAGTCCTTCTACTCCATTATAAGACACAGTAAATGAGATTTTTCCTGAAAGCCTAGGTTGCCCCTTAGGAGAAAGTAAGGCATTTAGAAAAACACAGAAATCTTTTAGTCTATCAGAAATTATTGATGCACAAAAGAATATATTCAAGAGAGTCTCTAGAAAGAAAAACTTCCATTAGGGTAAGACTTACCAAATTATTTTTTCAGGCTCAAAAGTCAAATAGTATCTTTTCAGAGAAGAAATACTCCTATGAATGATCTCTCATGAACGTCACTCCTTAAATCTATGTCTCTCATTTCAGCATCCAATATGACAGATATTATGATACTCAGACACCTTGACAATGCATTCTCTTTCCAATTCCCAGAGTGATCAATTGTATAGTTTTCTTGTTCAAGCATATTTTAAAATTCAGCCTCTGAGTCTTAAATATGATATTGTGACTTATAAACACATCAGCATAAAGACAGTGTTCCTTCAAAATGTGTACATTTTCTTCAGATCTCTCCAAATACATTCTCTGATTCACAAAAATACATCTATCTTGAACTTGACTAAAAATAGTGTTGAAGTTAATTCCCACTTAAGAGAGCAGGGAATTGAGATACTGAAAAGAACAGTTAGGAAATGGAAACGGATTTACACTTTGTCAAAAAGGCAATTTTGAGCACCTTATTATAGCAACAACATGAACTCTTTGTGAATTTAGTTTTGACAGCATTGGGATTATCACTTTTCTATCTGTGATAAACTGTAGCATGTATTCACCATTTGTGTCAATGGCTCAAATGTTTTAGCATGACAATAAGCTAAATCACATTTTACAAAGGAATTAATAATAATTGGGTGGTGTTATTCCCTTGTTAAAGATGAGAAAACCATGGTGAAGAAATTCAGCCTTACCCTTAAGTCATGCAGATATCTTGCACAGACTCTAGTCAAGCTCATGACTTCTGCTTGGTACTCTTAGGGACTTATATAATGTATACAACACACAAACCCAGGGGGAAATGTATCATAGGTAGTGTTGTTGAGCTACTAACCAAAAGTAAAGTATTTTTTGTTGTTTCCACCTCACTGGAGAACAGATGAAGGTCATAGACTCTAATGTTTACTGTCATTGAGTTTCTGTGAGGGACTCTTTCTCTGGGCCATGGTCTTTAAGGAGAGGTAATTTCAAAAAATGTTAACAGTGATCATTCCAGGCCCAGCACTGTGTGACTCTGTTTCCGTTTTGAAAATATGGCCAAATTTCAGTTATCTGATAAGTTAAATAGTAGAGTTAAAAATAAAATTAGAAGTTTCAATCTCTGCCTTCTGTTAGAATACAGAATAAGAATTAGACAAAAAACATTTGGTTCTATGATACTGTAATTTTAGGAACACAAGGATAGTGGTCACCTCCTAAATAACCTCACATTTCCTAAAATTATTTTTTATATTCTCATATTATATATTCTGAGATACTTCTTGCAACATTGTAACAATTATTTATATGAGTAGTTTTCAACCGGGCATGATTCTGCCTCCAGTGTCTATTTAGCAATGTCTGGAGACATTTTTGGTTGTCATAGCTGGGAGGTGCTACTAGCATCTAGTGGGTAGTGACTTTGCTAAACATCCTATATAATACACAAGATGTCCCCACACAAACACACACACACAACAAAACATCATCCTGCTCTACATGTCAATAGTTTCAAAGTTGAGAAATTCTATTTAAATTTATAAATAAGTGAACAACTATTCTAATATAAAATTTTTTTTCTAGTATATTCAGCTTTGGTCCATTGACACAGGTAGGATACATGTATTTTCAATGATGAAATCTTCACTTGAGCTTATAATGCTCCCTGAGATTTAAAAAGTCGGAATTTAATTGAGTAAACTGGATCTTTTAGAAAATGAAAGTAGCCAGAAGAGCATTAAGTAGGAAACCATTCATTCATGCCTTTGTGTGAATTAATGCAATGAGGAATGATTGTGGAGAAAGGCAGACCCGAATGAATGCCATAAAAGGAAGGTTATGGAGCTGTTAGACAGCTTAACAATGCTAGGCACCAGGAGAGAGGAGATTCAAGAAGGATGATGGTGCCCAGTTTTTCTTACTTTCAAATTTAGTCCAACTATTCCCCACTATAAGGCATGAAGAGTAGCGGAACTCACATATCTTAGTTTCAATTCTTTTCTTTTTCTGGTTCAGCTTCAAGGAGGTTGTGATTTTTAAAATACCAATGATTGACTCTTCTTTGGAGAAGTTTCTGTTCATTTCCATTGCCCATTTCTTGATGGGGTTGTTTGATTTTTTCTTGTTTATTCTTTTAAGTTCTAGGTAGATTCTTGTTATTAGACCTTTATCGGAAGTGTAGAGAGCAAATATTTTCTCCCACTGTGGGTTGTCTATTTGCTCTAACGATCGTTTCCTTGGCTGTGTAGAAACTTTTTAATTTGATCAGATTCCATTTGTTTATTTTTGATGCTGCAGTGATTGCCTTGGGGGTCTTCCTCATGAATTGTTTGCCTAGACCAATATCTGATAGGGTTTTCCCAACATCTTCTTCTAGGATTCTTAAAGTTTCATGCCTTAGGTTTAGATCTGTTATCCATATGAATGAATTTTTGTGAGAGGTGAGAGGTTGGGATCCTGATTCACTTTTCTGCATGTTGCTAACCAGTTTTTCCAGCACCATTTATTGAAGAGAGAATCTTTTCCCCAAAGTATATTTTTGTCTGTTTTATCAAAGATTAGGTTACCATATACAGATGGTTTCATCTCTGGAATCTCAGTTCTATTCAAGATATCGATGCTTCTGTTCTTGTGCCAGTACCATGAAGATTTAACTATTATTGCTTTATAGTACAGTTTGAAGTCAGGAAGACTGATGCCTCCCAGTTTGTGCTTTTTACTTAAGATTGCTTTGGCTAGTTCCATACAAAGCGAAGAATTGTTTTTTCTAGATCTGTTAAGAATGCTGGTGGTATTTTGATGGGGATTGCATTGATTTTGTAGATCACCTTAGGTAATATTGACATTTTAACAATATTGATTCTACCAATCCATGAACATGGTAGATTTTTCCATCTGTTTAAATCATCTGCAATTTCTTTTTTTAGTGCTTCATAGTTCTCCTTGTATAAATCTTTCGTATCTCTCATTAAGTATATTCCTAGGTATTTAATTTTCTTTGGGGCTATAGTAAAGGGTATTGCGTTTTTGATTTGAGTTTTTGCTTGATGGTTCTTGGCAAATATGAAGACAGAATAATGACCTTCAAACATAGAAAAAAAATGTTCAACATCTCTAATCATTGGAGAAATGCAAATCAAAACCACAATGAGATACCACCTAACCCCAGTGAGAATGGCCTGTATCAAGAAATCCCAAAACAACAAATGCTGGTGAGGATGCGGAGAGACAGGAGCACTCTTACACTCTGGTGGGACTGCAAATTAGTGCAACCTTTGAGGAAAAGAATTTGGAGATACCTCAAACAGCTAGAAATAGAAATACCATTCAACCCAGCAATAGCATTGTTGGACATCTACCCAAAAGAGCATAAGTCTCTCTATTATAAAGACATCTGCACCCGGATGTTTATGGCAGCACAATTCACTATTGCAAGGGCATGGAAACTACCTAAGTGCC